CCGACTGCGGTTCGAGTCCCGGACCTAGCACCTTGCTTTCTCACTTTACCATTCTCTGTCTATCTGTGTCTGTCTCTAGTCTCATTTAAAAAAATAATAATAGGGAGGGCCAGCAGGTGGGGTGGTGGTTAAGGCGCTGGACATTCCCACATGGACAACCACGGTTCAAGTCCCAGACCTGGTGGCTTGCTCTCTCACTTTCCCTCTGTCTCTAGTCAAATTAAAAAATAAATGAATAAATAAATGAAACAAATCATTCTTAAAATAAAAATAATAGGGACCAGCCGATGGCGTAAGGGTTACATCGCTGAACTGTCACATAGTCGACTGGTTCGAGTCCCAGACCTGATGGCTTAAACCTCATGCCGGGTGCGTGTGCGTGTGTGCCCAAGATCCAGAGAGAAGAGAGGAGGAGAAGGGATTGCGGCGTGGCCATTCTTCCTGGGGGGTGATTTCTCGCTTTCTGTCTCTCCAATGAGTCCATGTGTCCTATAGCAAAAATCTCTCTAAAAATAAATAATAATAAATAAAATGAAATAAAATAATTTATAAAAAAGTGTTATGTAGGGCTAGCCTATGCATAAGGGAGGTGGCATGGTGGTGAAGGTGCTAGACTCCCATGCGGCCAACGACACTTGAGTCCTGGCTTACTTTCTTACTGTCTCTGTCTCTCTCTGGTGAGCACAGGTGCCCTACACCAAATTTTTTAAAAATACTAACAATAAATAAAATAATTCTGTTAAAAAAAAAAAAAAAGCCATACATAGGGGCCAGACCTCACAGGGCTGACTGGGGTTCAAATCCCAGCCCTGACAGCTTGAAAGACACACTGCGTGTGTGTACACGCACCCAACAGTTGGAAGGGATGGAGAAATAGAAAGAAAAAAAGTTGTGCTCGCTCTCTCTCTTTCTCTCTCTTCTCCTCTCTCTGTCTCTGGCAAGTCATAGCCATATCCCCTCTGGCAATAGAAAAAGAAAGAAACGGTATTTAACACACGGTCAGCAAAACCAGGCACGGGTGTGTGTGCCGTTGCTAACCTACCAAACACCGTCCCGAGCCCACCCTACCCTAAGTGTGCTTAAAACACTTAGCTCAGGCTCCCGTTGGGGAAAGCCTAATAAGATGCGGACCACCTCCTGTGAGTCACTGAAAACCACTGAAAGTCAAAAACAGAACGGTTGTCTGGGTGCTCCAAGTACAGTTTCTAGGAAAAGGCAGGAGACACAGTGGCTAAGGCGCTAGACTCCCACATCGCCGACCATGGTTCGAGTCCCGAACCTGGTGGCTTGCTTTCTCACTCTTGCTCTCGCTCTCGTTGTCTCTGGTCAAATTAAAATAATAACAACAACAAATAAAATAAATAATTCTTTTTAAAAAAAGGACAGTTTTTATTGAATATGTATTGCTCATGCACCACCATAAAGTACAGAAAAAAAAAAAAATCATTCATCAAACCATTCCAAATCGGGGACCATCTACAGCACATGAAACGATAAGAAACATCAGAATAATAGTTAGGAGAGCAGCAGGTGGCATAGTGGTTGGGTCACTGGACTCCCATGTAGTCAACCACGGTTCGAGTCCCGGACCCGGTGGCTTAAACTCACACTGGTCGTGTGTGCGTGCGTGCCCAAGATCCCGAGAGGAGAATGGAGAAGGGATTGCAGTGTGGCCATACCCCCTGGGGGGTGATTTCTCGCTTTCTGTCTCTCTGTCTCTCTCTGTCTTTCTGGCGAGCGCATGTGCCCTATAGCAAAACCTCTCAAAAAAAAAAAAAAAAGAAAAGAAAAGGAAAGAAAAAATTGGGGCCAACAGAGAGTGAGGTGGTTGAGGCGCTGGATTCCTATGTGGCTGACAGCAGTTCAAGTCCTGGATCTGGTGTTTTGCTTTCTCACTTTCTCTCTCTCTAGCGAGCACATGTGCCCTATAAAATTTGTGAAATGATAATAATAAAAATAAAAGTAAATAATTCTTTAAAACTCAAAGAAAGAAAGGAAAGGAGAGAAGAAACTAGGGCCAGCAGGTGGCGTGGTGGTTGAAGTGCTGGACTCCCACAGGGCGACCGCAGTTTGAGTCCTGGATCCAGTGGCCTGAAAACGATGCATGTGCCCTATACCAAACTTAATTTTTAAAAAAAATATAGAGTTTTAGTAATCTAATTATACCCTCATTATAGTGATGCCCTATCTTCTATCAAGGGACTCGAGCATGCTTCTGGAACATTCTCTGTGCAAGTCCGCTGCTTTGCAGTTTGAAAGTGAGAGCTGGTGAATCTCAGAGTGAATTAAAGTGGCAGGCTTGGCGTCTGGCTCCCAGCAAACCCTCCTTGGCCAAGACCACACCAACTCCCGGCTCCTGCAACACCCCCTGGCTGCATTTCTTCAGGAAGAAACCATCTCCCCAATTAAGCCAAAATGTCCTGTCTCTGCTCAGTCCCCGGCCTGGGCGATTTCCGCCTTCCCGCTTGCTCTCCCTTTCCTCCTCCCGTCCCAGCCTAGGAACTGCAACGTCTGACTGCAAGCCGGGACCACGGCCTCACGGGGGAAGCTTGTTGATAAACCCACGTGGCTGGTCAGCGCTCTGCCGGGGACCTGGACAGGCTTCCTGCTCCCCTTACTCAGAGCCACCGGGCAAACCACTTAACTGCCTCATTAGGGCCCCGACAGGTGCCACGGCCTCTTCCCGGGTGCCTGGTCGCCCCATTAATATCTGTAAGGATCCATTAAGCCTTCTGGCTGAAAGGCACCATCAAAGCAAACCTGTGACTATCAGCATCAATAAAGCTCAGGTCCTCCTGCCTGTCAGCACATAAGGTAAGTCAGTCCCCCTTGGGGACAGAAAGTGGGCACCTCGCCTGCCTGTCGGTCCCTTAATGAGTCACCCTCCGGCGGCAGAATGGCACGCAACACGAACGGGGCTCCCATTCCAGGAGGGAGAAAAGCGATGCTTGATTTGGGGCAGGGGGTTTCAATGGTTAGACCCTCCCGTATCCCTCGGCCCTGCGCAGTACCTGCAGCCGGGAGCTGCCCACTGCCCAGCCCTGTCCCCACCTATGTCACCAAGGCTGGAGACAACAACACGGCCAGACGACATCACACAATGCCACCATGAAGACGGACGACACAGGCCCGGCCACGGTGACACACAGCTCACACCACCACCTGGAGGCTGAAGGCCGCGTGGGAGGCTCAGGCCCGGTTCCCGGGCTAACCCAAACACCCTGGCCGTGTTTATAGATGCCTGTGCTCCCAGCTCACGGAGAGGCCTGGGCAGGAGGATCGCAGCTAGGCCTTGTCAAAAAATACCTATCTCGGGGCTGGCAAGTGGCATGGTGGTTAAAGGCGCTGGACTCCCACATGGCCGACCACGGTTCAAGTCTCGGACCTGGTGGCTTGCTTTCTCACTTCCTCTTTCTCTCTTTGTCTCTCTGATCAAACTGGAAAATAATAATGATAATAATAATAATAAATAAAGTAAAATAAAATAATTTTTTTTAAAAAGAAACCTATCTCAGGGCCAGTGGATGGTATGGTGGTTAAGGCACTGGACACTCCCACACGGCCAACCAGGGTTCAAGTCCCAACCACGGTTTCAGTCCTGGTGGCTTGCTTTCTCACTCCGACCCCCCACCGTCTCTCTCTGGTCAAATTAAAATAAATGAATGAATACATAAAATTGGATAAATAATTCTTTTCTTGAAAATAATAGTATTAAAAGCCAGGGACCAGCAGTTAGCATAATGGCAATGTTGCTGGACTCCCATATAGTCGACTATGGTTCGAGTCCCGGACCCAGTGGCTTAAACTCATGCCAAGCGCATGTGCGTGCGTGCCCAAGATCCCAAGAGGAGAATGGAGGAGAAGGGATTGCGGCGTGGCAATCTCCCCAGGGGGTGATTTCTCACTTTCTGTCTCTTTCTGTCTCTCTGGTTGAGCGCACACACCCTATAGCAAAAACCTCTCCAAAAAAAAAAATCATTTTATTTAATTTTATTCATTTATTATATTTTACATTTAATTTGACCAGAGAGAGACAGAGAGAGAGAGAGCGCAAGCTGCCAGGTCCAGGACTCAAACTGCGGTCGGCCATGTGGGAGTCCAGTGCCCTTAACCACTACGCCACCTGTCGGCCCCTAAGTAAACTTTTCCAGAAAGTCTCTCTGTGTCTATCCCTCTCTCTCTCTCTCACAAATTGAAGGTGAAAAGGACACCGTGGACCAGGCAGCAATTTGCAGAAGGTGGTCTGGGTTACGCGGCTGCCACACGGCTGTGGACTCCCTCCAAAGGAGAGCAGCTTGGAAGACGTGCTGGTCACGGTAAACCCGCCTGCATCTTTCCGCTTTCCAATCAAGTGCATATGTCACCTCTTGGGAGCCATCTTTTCTTGTTTGAAATTTTTCTCTTTTTTTGGAGAGGTTTTTCGCTATAGGGCACATGCGCTCGCCAGAAAGACAGAGACAGAGAGACAGAAGGCAAGAAATCACCCCCCAGGGGGGATGGTCACGCCACAATCCCTTCTCCTCCATTCTCCTCTCGGGATCTTGGGAACGCACATGCACATGCGCCCGGTGTGAGTTTAAGCCACCGGGTCCGGGACTTGAACCACAGTGTGCCATACAGGAGTCCAGTGACATAACCATTACGTCACCTGCTGGTCCCAAAATGCACTTCTTTTACAGACACAGAATGTCCATTCTTAGAAGCCCCAGGAGGCACCTTCCTAAGTGGTGACCCGTATGGGGCAGGAGTTGAGGGGTAGGGAGGAGGGCGGCCTTTTTGACCAAGAGGAATGGTCAGATGTGTTTCACTCAGGAAGGGAACGTGGGAGGCGGGGACACACCACCCAGGTGTCACCCCCTCCTCTGTCTCTGCTACAATGACACCGGAAACATCTACAAGGTATGATGAGTGTAGACCGAACCGGGCTTCCGTTATCGACTCTGGAAAGAACTCCCCAAAGCACGCCACCCCTCCACCCCTACAGTCCCCATCCTACTCACGGTCTGGAACGCTCGCTTGCTGAAGCTGAATCTTGAGCCAGATGTTGATGCGCTGGCCCCAGGCCCCTGGGGGCTCCACCTCCCACAAGCGCCCCCGCTCCTCTGCACAGGCCGACAAGAACTGCCTGCAGACTGACGAGAAAAAGAGGGACCCATGTGGGAGTCAGGAGGGCCCGCCTGATCCCGCTGTGAGGCCAGCTCTCTGCAGTGCCCAGACATGGCCACGGCCATGGGGTCTTGGGCATGCATGCACACGCGCCTGGCGTGAGTTTAAGCCACTGGGTCCAGGACTCAAACCACAGTCGACTACATGGGAGTCCAGCGACATAGCCATTATGCCATCTGCTGGTCCCCCTTGGGCCTCTTCTCGTACACCCTCCCTCCTCCCTCCCGGCTTCCTCATCCCTCCCTCCCTCCCCCCATGGAAATCTCCAGCTCATTTTCTGCAGACTCTTGATTCCAGAACGCCCTCCAAGCAGGTGGACTTCTGTGCCCACGTTGACGGGTGACCCTTTTCAGGTGGCAATGCCCAGAGCGGGTCAGTAGGAAGCCCCTTTCCCCCCGTGTCTGGGGGAGTCCATGAGGGCCCCTCCTGGCACCTGCAGGGCCCCGGGCGAGCACAGATGGACCGTAACAGACCACGGTGCTCAGCGCACAGAAGGTAGGACCAGCTAGCAACCAGCTAAATGTGACACGCTCGGCCCTCCCACCTGGACGGATATAACTTAGCAATAACGCAGAGAGCTGGTTGCAAATTTAGAATTCTTGGACGCCTTAGAGTTTCGCACCAGTGAGCCCCCCACCAACCCCGTCGACAGCCCCGGCTTCTCCGCCCTGCCAGCCCCCTCTCCACCAATGCCTCAAAGCCTCTGTGTGCGTCGCTCACGCCCCAACCACGGCCTGCCGACAGCTGTGCCTGCGTCTCAGGATGGCAAATTGGTGGCATGGTCCATCCTATGAGCACAGACCCAGGGGCCCTGCAGTGACTTAGTTTAGAAGTGGCCTGGGCCCACCTGGGCACCTGCTCTTGGGCTCATGGAAAAGAATGCACCTGAAAGAGAGCTCAGAGCCTAGCCCAGGGCAGGAGTTCTTTATTCTTTCTTCCTTCCTTCCTTCCTCCCTTTCCTTTCCTCCTTCCTTTCTTTTTTTTCTTTATTTTAAGAGAGATTTGTGCTATAGGGCGTGTGTGCTCACTAGAGAGACAGAGAGACAGAAAGCGAGAAATCACCCCCCAGGGGGGATGGCCACGCCACAATCCCTTCTCCTCCATTCTCCTCTCGGGATCTTGGGCACGCACACACACGCGCCCGGCGTGAGTTTAAGCCACTGGGTCCGGGACTCAAGCCATGTCGACAGCATGGGAATCCAGGGACATAACCATTACGCCATCCGCTGATCCCTGGAGTCCCGCTTACCCTGAGGCAGAGGGCAGGGCTGGACTTGGAAGCCCATCAGTCCCAAGGGACGAAGCATGACTCAGCACCTTCAGATCTTCTCCCTCTCCCGGCAGAGAGGAGGGTGGCAGGAACTGCAGGGCCTTATGAGGGTCTCCATGACACTGGCCCTGGAGGAGCCCTGTCCTCGGAGCCCGCTGTTCCCCTGGGAAATCTGCTGCCCTTCCAGCTCCCCCGAGCAGGTGGTGAAATCTGTGGTGGCCTGCACATGGGAGGACGCATTCAAGCAGAGGTCTTGGAATCAGGGACCAGCAGTTGGAGTAATGGCTACGTTGCTGAACTCCCATGTAGTTGACCGTGGTTCAAGTCCCAGACCCAGTGGCTTAAACTCACGCCGGGCGCGTGTGCATGCATGCCCAAGATCCCGAGAGAAGAATGGAGGAGAAGGGATTGCGGCATGGCCATCCCCCCTGGGGGGTCATTTCTTGCTTTCTGTCTCTCTGTCTCTCTCTGTCTGCCTGGCGAGCGCATGCGCCCTGTAGTAAAAACCTCTCCAAAAAAAAAAAAAAGAAAAAGAAGGTTTGGAATCAGAGTGACAGTGAGGAGACGAACCGGCTAGACGTGGTGTACACAGGAGGCCTGCTGCCTGGGCCTAGAACTCCCCAGCACCTGGAAGTGATCTCAACCATGCAGGAAGTCTCAAGTGCTCTTTGCAGACATTCGAGGCACTTCAAGGCCGGCAGCTGGCGTGCTGGTTGAGTCGTTGGACTCCCACATGGCTGACCACGGTTTGAGTCCCGGACCTGGAGGCTTGCTTTCCTACTTTCCCTTCCTCTCTCTCTCTCTCTCTCTCTGTCTCTGCCTAGTCAAATTAAACAAATAATAATAATAATAAATGAAATAAAATCATTCTTTAAAAAAAAAAAAAAGACATTCAAGGCACTTTACAGTCTAATAACAGACTAAGTGTTTGAAAACAACGAAATCACAAATCCCTGGGACCAGCAGATGGCGTAGCGGTTACTTTGCTGGACTACCATGTAGTTGACTGCAGTTTGAGTCCTGGATACGGTGACTTAAAACTCACACCAGGTGGGGACCAGCAGGTGGCGTGGTGGTTAAGAAGCTAAACACTCCCGCATGACCAACCACAGTTCAAGTCTTGGACCTCATGGCTTGCTTTCTCACGTTCTCTCTCTTTCTTTCTCTCTCTCTTTCTCTCTCTGTGTGTGTGTCTCTGTCTGGTCAAATCAAAATAAACAAATGAGGGACTGGCAGGTGGCGTGGTGGTTAAGGCACTGGACTCCCACTTGGCCGATGGTGGTTTGAGTCCCAGACCTGGAGGCTCATTTTCTCCTTTTCCCTCTCTCTCTTGTGTCAAATTAAATGAAAATAATAAATAAAATTATTTAAAAAAAAAAAAAAAGCCAAAGTGCAAAGGTGCTCTGAGGCCCCGGCAGTGGTCTGTGGATCTCTGGATTCCCAAGTTCCACTCAGGTTGCTGATGGGTTGTTTGTTTGTTTGTTTTAAGAGTTATTTTATTTAACTTTATTTATTTGTTTGTTTATTTTAATTTGACCAGAGAGGGAAAGAAAGAGTGGAAGAGAGAGAGAGAGAGAAAATGAGAAACCAAGCCACTAAGTCCGGGACTTGAACCATGGTCAGCCATGTGAGAGTCCAGAGCCCCTAGCCACCACGCCACCTGCTGGTCCCACTGATGTGTGTGTTTGTTTTTTTTTTAAGAATTATTTATTTTATTTAATTTATTCATTCATTTATTTTAATTTGACCAGAGAAAGAGAGAGAGAGAGATATATATAGAGAGAGAGAGGAAGCGAGAAAGCAAGCCACCAGATTCAGGATTTGAACTGTGGTCAGTCATGTGGGAGTGTCCAGTCATGTGGGAGTGTCCAGTGCCTTAACCACCACACCACCTGCTGGTACCCACTGATGTGTTTTTGATGATTGCTCAATCTAGTTATTTCACAGGCTGGGAAAGGTTTGCATCTTGTAATCCTACAGGAAGTCTCGGCTTGTGCTGAGCGATGGGGGATGTCTCGAGAGGCAGGAAAAACCCATGCGTGTGCATGTCACAACACTGAACCTGCTGCGACCCTGCAGGGCTCCCAGGAACTCCCTCCCAGAGTCTCCGAACGCACACATGCGACCCATCACTGTCACCCGGGTGTACCTTGGAACATGGCAGGGGAAATCGGAGAACTGACTCCCAGGGCCTCCTCCTCCTGGAACGTGTCACAGAAGTCCCGCAGCATGGCTGTCCCCAGGCCTTGGCGACGCTGTTTCCTCCTGATGAACACGGTATCGAAGACGGGCAGCAGGTAGCATGCTCCGGTGCCGTTGCCACACAGGCTGCCTTCAGGGAGGACGAGAGACACTCGTTGTCCTGCAGGCTTGCAGCCGACCTGCCGGACCCCTGGAGCACCCCTGTACTGCCACAGTGGCTCGACCACCTGGAAGCCCAGTTAGCTTCCCAACATGAAAAACCCACACTAAGGGGCCAGCAGGTGGCGTGGTGGCTAAGGCGGCTGGACTCCCACATGGCCGACTGTGGTTCGAGTCCCGGACCTGGCAGCTTGCTTTCTCACCTTTCCTTCTCTCTGTCTGTCTCTCTCTCTCTCAGGTCATCTTCCAAAAAGTAAAATAATGATAATGAATAAAATCATTGTTTATAAAGAAAAAACAACACTAAAACAACAGGTCAGTTCTTTATCTCACTGATCCATTTCCTTTCATTTTTTTTTTTTTTAGAAGGGGTTTTTGCTGGGACCAGCAGTTAGCATAATGGCTATGTCACTGGACTCCCATGTAGTCAACCATAGTTTGAGTCCCGGACCTGGTGGCTTAAACTTACACCGGGCACATGTGCGTGCGTGCCCAAGATCCTGAGAGGAGAATGGAGGAGAAGGGATTGCAGCGTGGCCATCCCCTCTGGGGGGCGATTTCTCCCTTTCTGTCTCTCTTTGTCTTTCTGGCTAGTGCATGTGCCCTATAGCAAAAATCTCTCAAAAAAAAGAAAAGAAAACTAAAGAAACAAACAATACCTAGGGGCCAGCAGGTGGCATGCTGGTTAAGGCACTGGACTCCTACATGGCTGACTGCGGTTTGAGTCCCAGAGCTGGAGTCTTCCTTTCTCACTTTCTCTCTTTCTCTGTCTCTCTCTGGTGGGCACATGTGCTCATAGCAAAACTTTAAAAATAATCATTAATAAAATATAATAATAAATGAGATGAAATCAATCTTTTTTTTTTTTTTTTTTTAAAAAGAATACCTGGGCCAGCAGGTAGCAGCATTCTTTTTCGGTCCCCCCACACAGTCGCCCACAGTTCAAGTCGTGGGCCTGGTAGCTTGCTTTCTCACTTTTTCCCTCTCTCTCTCTCTCTCTCTGTCTGATCAAACTAAAAAATAGTAATAACAAATGGAATTAAAGAAATAATCCTCGGGGAGGGGGGAAGAAAATCTAAGGGGACAGCACGTGGCATGGACTCCCACATGGCCAACTGTAGTTCAGGTCCCGGCCCTGGTCTGCGTTTTTGTCTGGGTTCCCGACGGCCTCACTGAACCTCTTGTTTTTATGACAACCGCTGGTATTGGGCTTTCAGGAACTTCTAGTGCAACACTGAGCTTTTCAGATTTTTCTACAAAAGCAAAATACGTATTAGCTCTGCTTTAAATTGGCTTACTCTCCGCTCCCTAGTTCGGCATTTTCTCCCCCGAGTACTAAATCTTGTGGGCTCGTGGTTTGAGAGTAAAAGTTAAAGTAAAACCTCACGCGTTTGGATTACCTAAGGAGACGCTCATGAAATATGAGGAGACCTCGAAAAGTTTGTGGAAGGACAGAGTTAAAATAGGACGGAGTTTATTTTGGTGCAAAAAGATTTTTGAAATCCAAGCATCTTTTTTTTTCCTTCAGAATGTGTGTTTTCTTAATTTTGAGAAGACCCGCAGAGTGAAAGGACTAAAATGTCAATACTTTGTAAGAAATACCATTGGCAGTAGGCGTTGGGAGGTGGTTTAAACTGCTAGACTCCCACATGGCCGACTGGACCGCGGTTCAAGTCCCAGACTTAGCGGTTCTCACTTTCCCTCCCACCCCCGTTTCTCTCTGGTGTGCACACGTGCCCTATGACAAATTGTTTAAAATAATAATAAATAAAATCTAAAACAAAAGAAAAGAAATATCATTATGGCATGGTGGTTAAGGTTCTGGATTCCTGTAGGGCCAACCATAGTTCAAGTCTGGACCCAGCGGCTGGAGGGTCACACTGTGCACGTGTGCATGCATGCTGAGAGGAGGCTGGAGGAGAAGGGATTGCAGCGTGGCCATCCCCCCTGGAGGGGTGGTTTTTCAATCTGCTTGTCTCTGTCTCTGTTTGTCTCTGGCAAGTACATATGCCCAATGGCAAAAAAAAACAAAGAAAAAAAGAAATACCATCAACCAAAAGGAGAAACTCAAGCCAGTTAATCAGCAAAGCGTTTCCCAAGAGAGAGCTACTGAGGGACCAGCAGTTAGTGTAATGGCTATGTCACTGAACTCCCATGTAGTCGACAGTGGTTCAAGTCCTGAACCCAGTGGCTTAAATTCACGCCGGGCGCATGAGTGTGCGTGCGTGCCCAAGATCCTGAGAGGAGAATGGAGGAGAAGGGATCACAGCGTGGCCATCCCCCCAGGGGGTGATTTCTCCCTTTCTGTCTCTCTGAGCAGTCTCTCTGGCGAGCGCACACACCCTATAGCAAAAACCTCTCAAAAAAAAAAAAAGAGAGAGAGAGAGAGCTACTGAAAATATCTTATTCATTCTACACACGGACACCTACCTGTCTGAGAACTGAATGTCCCCCCCCAGCAATGAGGCACAAACCATCGACTGGGATAAATCTCAAAGGCACTGCGCTAAGGGAAAGAACTCAACCTCGTAGGACGAACTACCGTATGGCTCCAATTATACGGGGCATTTTGTCAACCCCTATCCGTGGCGAACACGATCAAAGACCCTCAGTAGATCCCGGAAACCAGGAATACCGGGTCTGATAGTACCAAACCCTATATACACTATGTTCTTATTTTCTCTTTCTTTTCTTTTCTTTTTTTTTAAATTATTCATTTATTTGTACTTATTTATTCATTTATTTGAATTTGACCAGAGAGAGAGAGAGAGGGAGGGGGTAAAGGGAGAAAGCAAGCCGCCAGGTCTGGGACTCGAACCATGGTCAGCCATGTGGGAGCCCAGCACCTCAACCATCACGCCACCTGCTGGACCCTTTTCTTTCTCTTTTGTTGCTCCAGGGCACATGTGCTTGCAAGAGAAAGACGGAAAGGCAGAGAGAGGGAGAGGAGAAAACACCCCCCAAGAAGCTTAGTCGCAGCGCAAATTCCTCCTCCTCCACCTCTTCCTCCTTTCAGGATTTTGGGTACACACACACACACACACACACACACACACACACATATGGTCTGTTTCTTAAGCCGCCCTGTCCAGGACTCGAACCGCACAGTCGGCCATGTGGGATCGGGTGGCCTTAACTCTTCCACTGATAGCCAAGACACAGTTACAGAATTACCAACAACTGGGGGAGTCAGGGAGGGGCCCGGGTGTGTATGCAGCTTGGATATGCTGAACTTACTTCTGAAATTTTCATTTAATATTTTTGGATTGCCGTTGACCACAGGTAACAGACCACAGAAAACAAAACCGTGAATAAAAGGAGCCTACTGTATTCGAGAAAAGACCAAATTATAGAGATGGAGAACAAACCAGTGGTTGCCAGGGGCTACGAGTAGGGGGTGAGATGACCATAAAGGGAAAACATGAAATTTGGGGCGTTTTTTTTGGAGCGCGTTGGAGAGGAAATTATTGTTTATTTTAATTGTGGTTGTTTACGTGAACCTATACATGGGTTAAAATGGACAAAATTGTAAGACACCCCTCAGAGTCAATTTGACTGCATGGTAATTTTTAAAATAATATTTAAAGGCAAATACACACATGCACAAAAAAATGTGATGAGAAGAAGCTTAGAAAGAATGTATACTCTTCTGCAGTTAAAACCTAGTCTCAGGGGGGGCCAGCAAGTGACGTGGTGGTTTAAAGGCACTGGATTCATTCCCACATGGCTGACAGTGGTTTGAGTCCCGGATCCGGCAGCTTGCTTTCTCAATTCCCCTTTCTTTCTTTCTTTCTCTCTCTGGTTCTTGTCTGGACAAAAATTTAAATAATAATAATAATAACAATAATAATATAACAAATAGAATTAAATAAATAATTCCTTTTTTTTTTTTTTAAGAGGTTTTTGCTCTAGGGCTCATGTGCTCGCCAGATAGACAGAGACAGACAGAGAGACAGAAAGCAAGAAATCACCCCCCCGGGGGATGGCCACGCCGCAATCCCTTCTCCTCCATTCTCCTCTCGGGATCTTGGGCATGCACGCACACGCGCCTGGCGTGAGTTTAAGCCACCGGGTCCGGGACTCGAACCGCGGTCGACTACATGGGAGTCCAGCGACATAGCCATTACGCTAACTGTTGGTCCTCCACAACAAGTATTTTAAGGAGGACATGGCACTGCCTGGGAACCCACGGGACATGCCTTTTGCTGATGAGATGAGAAACGTGAGGAAAATGAAACCCATACCTTATTGTTATTTAAACCTTCCTTAGCGATACTTCCTGGGCCAGAAGATTCTCTCCTGGTAGGGGGTGCACTAAAGGAGGCTCCCAGAGACAGGCAGACACCTGTGCCCACGGCCTGAAGCGACAGCAGCCCCGAGCTGTCGCGAGTGGCCCTCACCTTTCATTTTGGTCGTGTAAAATCCAACAGCGGCTCCGTGTCGCCACAGAATTTTTGCCTGCTCCTTCATGGAGTGAGGTAGGAAAAACATGTCATCGTCGTCCAAATTTCTCTCCGATCTTCCAAAAATAACGACATTTAGGATGAAAAGCACAATTCGTTCTCCAAATGACTGAACCTTGTAGGAAAGAAAAAAAGAAAAAAAAAAAATCCACGTGAGACCAGAAGAGGAAAGCGGGCATGAGAAACTTCGCACTTGGAAACGACCCCTGCACCGGGGCCGGGTGTGCACACCCCTCCAATGGGGCTCTCTGCTCAGAAGCCAGAAACGTGAGTTGTTGTGTCTCACGGTGATGGGCACACCACTGATCTTCGGTGTGTCCAGGAGTGACAAAAAATGCCAGGAGGCTCCTGGGTCTCAGGGCTACAGACACGGACTGCGTGTCAATGGACCAGTATCAATTTCCTGCTAGGGAAACAGGAATTTACCTGGGGGCAGCAGGGAGGGTAACCCGTACTAGTAGATTCACTGGATATGTCTAAAATAAGCTCTATCAGCCATTTTTTAAAAATTCATCTAGGGCGGGGGGCTGGCAGGTAATGTGGTGGTTAAGGTGCTGGACTCTGACATGGCTGACCACAGTTCAAGTCCCAGACGTGGCAGCTTGCTTTCTCACATCCCCTCTCTCTCTCTCTCTCTCTCTGGTGAACACAACTGCCCTGTAGCAAATTTAAAAGGAATAATAATGATACAATTAAATAAGCTTTTTAAAAAATAATTATTTAAGGGAACCAGCAGGTAGCATGGTAGTTTAAGGTACTAGATTACCACATAGGTGAACCGTGGTTCAAGTCCCAGAGCTGGTGGCTTGCTTTCTTGCTTTCTCTCTGTCTCTCTGTCTCTCTGTCTCTCTGTCTCTCTCTGTTCAAATTAAAAAATAATAAGAAATGGAATTAAATAAGTAAATAACTTTTTAAATAATTATTCAATTTTATTTGATATCTCTATATATATATGTATATATATATATATATATATATACACACACACATATATATATATA